TGAAGTGGTTACTGGAAAAAAGGACCATGAGTTTAATAAGGAGCAGGCCCATACACATGCAACAAATGTAAGCCATATTCTACCATCTCCAAAAGAAAAAAAGCAGCAGTTTTTAAACCAAATTAGCAAAATATTGGCACATTTTGCACATCCATTATGCATGTTCAAAGCCCCTGGAACAGGAATGCTGTTGGTAAATCAGCTGTTTCAGACATATGTACCAAGTTACTGCATTTGCTTGGAATATTCTGCTCCAGGTTAGGAGAAAGACAGTCATGCATAGACTCCTCTCTCAGAAGTGCTGTCTTGGAGGGCTGGTTTAGCTGTTTTATAATAGACTCAATCCCACTTAAAAAACTCCTCTCAGGCTTCTCATTAATAAATGGCACTGAACACAATATGATACCAAGGTTGCAGAAACCAATGGCAATCTAGAAACCAGGAAAAGAAAACATAGTGAATGACAATAAAGAGTGGAACATTTAAAGGACTCTCGAGCAGCTGAACTCCCAGTCATTCTCCAAACATGAAAGAGGTTTGAACTGTTTATGAAATTAAGTGGAGCTTCTGGCACTGCACAATGAACCATACTGAACAGGAAGAAAGCTCTTTGCTTATTAGGCCTCAAGGAGATAATATATTGTGCTATACAGCTACAGCCTTTGCTATACATCAGGGAGATTACTCCTGTTCAGATTGATGAGTTGCTTTCAGACCTTTTTTTCACCATCTCTCTGATTTAATATGCTTTAGGAATGGAACAGTAATGTTCTGCTTAAGTTGCAGACGGGAGATGTTGAAAAGACAGGATCCACCATGCTTGTCGTGGAAGGACAGCAGAGAAGGACAGGCTTCTGCCTCCATGGGCTCAGATCCAGAATATCTTTGAGAGGATGGGAAAAAGAACTGAAAAGCATATAATGGAGCGTTAATAGTACTCCTCTATCCCATCATTTTGTGTGTGTGTATGCGTATGTGTGTATATCTCTCTATATAAACACACTAATATATATATATATATACATACGCACACAGAGAGATACATACACCTTTCTAGGTGTGTGCGTATGTAATATTATATACATACACAAGCGCAGACTAAACTTTATACAGAGGGAGAACGCATACCAGAGTCTGACACTGGGAAAGGATTTCTTCAGCGTATTTACACGCCTAGTCTCCGGCAGGATGTGGTCTGTCATTGCAGAGGCCACAGCACAAGGTGAGACTTTGCAAAATGTAATACAAGCTATTAATGCTGGTTGGTCTGCAAAATTCATACCTAGTCCTTAGAAGGGAGGATGTTAGGATTGAGAGGGGATTTTCTTCAAGAACTAGATTGGTTGTTTCTGGAACGCGGAGACAAAAACCACTGAATTGGACACCGGAGGACAAACAGGCAAGGAAATATAAGACTGACTATGGTGACTACATCATATTGGTTGCAACACACAGGAAAAAAAAGACGTGAAAGGTTAAAACAGTTGGGATAATTCAGCAGTTTCAGTGTGACAGCCTGAAGTAGTAGAGGCTTGTTCCTCTGACAACTGCATGTTTCAAATCATGAATTGCACGGCTGAACAATGATGTTCTATGTGAATACAACTGCTAACATCAAAATCAATTTTCTGCAGGAAGATCTGTATTTGCTAGACACATCGCAGCACAGGTGTCATGGCAAATAACAAATCATAGGATAATAGCTAGCAGTGCAACTGCTTTAGGCTTATTACTTTCTGAGTCCAGGAGAGCTACATATAATGCCACCTGTGCATAAGAGAGAAATCTAATTAGGATCCTTAATTGGACCTGAGCAACCTGATCCCAGATCGAAGTTAACCCTGCTCAGAGTGAAGGCGGTTGGACGAGAGACCTCATGAAGTCACTTCACTGATGAGGCCCCACCTTGAATACTGTGTTCAGTTTTGGGCCCCTCACAACAAGAAAGGCATTGAGGTGCTGCAGCGTGTCCAGAGAAGGGCAACGAGGCTGGTGAGGGGTCTGGAGCACAAGTCTTCTGAGGAGCAGCTGAGGGAACTGGGGTTGCTTAGTCTGGAGAAAAGGAGGCTGAGGGGAGACCTTATCACTCTCCACAACTACCTGAAAGGAGATTGTAGTGAGGTGGGGGTCCCTCTCTTCTCCCAAGTAACAGGTGACAGGACGAGAGGAAATGGCCTCAAGTTGTGCCAGGGGAGGTTTAGGATGGATATTAGGAAAAAATTCTCCACTGAAAGGGTTATCAAATATTAGAACAGGCTGCCCAGTGAAGTGGTGGAATCGCCATCTCTGGAGGTATTCAAAAGACGGGTAGACGTGGTGCTTAGGGACATGGTTTAGTGGTGGTTTTTGGCAGTGTTCGGTTAATGGTTGGACTCGATGATCTTAAAGGTCCCTTCCAACCTAGACAATTCTGTGGTTCCAAGTCCCTTCCAAGCTAAATTATTCTATGATATGTAGCATACAAAAGACTGAATCTCATCTGCCATCTCTGGCAGGAGCAGAAGACACCTTCAGCTTCATTCACGGCAAAAGGAAAAGCTGGGTTCTTACTCTTCCAGCTTTGACACAGGACAGCTTTTGGGACAGTCAGTGGGTCAGCCAGAGTTCCTTATTACAGGAAAGGCGTAAGAAATGCAGAGACTGAAATCCACTGGGGTCTTTGAAATTCTTCAAAAAAAAGTATACCATAGCAGGAACGGTGAAATACAGATATAGCACAGGCCAACAATATGGTATTTTTCCTGGGAAGAAGGTGAGGGGAGAGGAAAAGACAAAAGGGTAGTTGCCCTGTAAGAAGCATTTTCTGATAAAAAAGTGTTACGCTTCCCTGCATGCAAATACTGATCCTCACAAGCTGTTTCCTCTCAGATCTAATAATCTTCTTTACCTGCTGGAAACATGCTGTAATTACAAGTTCCAATGCCAGCTTCTCATTAACAAAGAAATCTGCCCTCTATTCCATGGGGTTTTGTTTTGCCTGATTAAAGATATTGTTAAAGCCTCCACAAATATTTTTCGTACCCACACGGACTCCTTATTGAATCTGTCTGTCTTCACTTCCTGTCTTAGTACAACTTACTTGTTAAATTGTTGCCTCACCGCACCCCTGAAGTGGTTGCCTTTAAGTGGCTGGTGAAATGATTAATATTTATTCAGTAAAGCTCTTTGAAGACGATACATGACATAAATATCAGCTAACACTATTACGCTTGCAAAAAACAATACAGCTTTTGTAAGATTAAAAGCCTATTCCCCCATTAGATTTCTTGAAATTTGTTAAAACAAAATAACGTAACCTTCCCTTTGCAGTTTATCCCTCTTATCTCTTCACAGTTTTTAATAGTCGGTATTTCCCATCTGATTACTGCTAATCACATAGGTACACTGCTTTTACAGCCTTGGGGTTTATTACAGAGCTTCTCTATTACTCCAAATAGGCACAAAACAGTAGCAGGTAGGGAGCAATATACATTTTCCAAAGATCAGAACCATTATTTAATGTTTTTGTAAATATTTACTTTAGAAACAGGCTAAACGTTACTTAAGATTCATTCTAAACCGCTGTGTTTAAAGGAAAAAAATCACGAAGACATATGGAACTCATCTGAAGGAGAAAAAAATGTTACAATTACACAAAAGAATTAATTTCCCTTGCTGTTACCAAAGAGTTGTCTTCATAAAAGCTTGTGGCATGCCTTTGTATCTTAGGTGGAACATCATGATACATATCATGTGGTTTGTGGTCTCCTCTTCCTACTGCCTGAAGCTCTGGCTGCAGTTTCCCCAACCTGCCTGTCCCACCAAATCGGTACACACCCGCATCGCTCTCCCACTGGGATTTCTGTTCCTGTTCTGCTCTTTTTTTTTTTTTTTTTTTTTTTTTTTTTTTTTTTCCCCCCTTCTTCTTCTTAGTCATCTTACCCACAAGCGGCATAAATCAAGGCGAGGCTGTGTTTTCACAGCTAGGCAGTTCTTGCAACATCAGGGCTGAGTTCAGGGAAACGGCTGGAAAACTTGCTATACCCCCACACACACACCTGCCTTTTGGCTAATGGAAGCCAGCACAGTGCCAAAGATGTTTGTTTATTCTTGCCCTGGGTGCTTTGATATGTATGCCATTGATGAGGGTAACCACCCTACCTCACAACACGGCACCCACGACTGAATAGGGCCTCACATCTCCTTATAGACCTCCCAGACGTCCTCTCCAGTGAGTGAGATGTTGGGTCACATTACTGGAGATGTCCCCACCAGCCTTCCGATGAGGACCCTCTCTCCTTTCACTACTTTGGAAGAGATTTGGGAAGGAGCTAGAGAAAGGGTGGACCAAGTCAAAGCCACTCAGGCAGGCAGGCGCAGCCACGTCACTTTGGAAGTGGCACTTGCTGAACACAAGGACGCAGTTTGGTCCAGCTGAGAGCAAATGCAGCAGACCCCCATGCTATAGTGTCACAACAGCATCAACCCTGTAGCTTTTAACCAGTTTGTGTCAGCTTAGGGAAAAACAAGCGGATAGAGTGTTGTGACTGGAATTAGCCCTTGAGGTATCGCATCTGCTGGGGCGTGGGCTGCACAACCCTTCCTGCCCATACTTCATTTCAGGTAGGGGTACAGCCACCTACGGTGACCGTCCAGCACCCCGCACGCTTGTGGGTGGGCTGACAGCGAGTGCTGAGGCACGTTTGGGAGACAGGTGGGGCTGCTGGAGAGCGAGAGGTAGCGTGGGCACCTGTGGCCAGGCCCTGCCCTCCCTGTTCTCGCAGGGTGGTGTTGTCACACCGGCAAAGCCGGGGCGGCAAGTTGAGAGGCCCTGGTGTCACGTACCCCACGGGCAGACCGGGCGGGGAGGGCACGTGAGACCTTGCTGCCTACACATCGGCGCACACCCGCCTGCTGCCACCACCCCGTGTCCCAACAGCACGGGGCCACGGGTGACTCCGGGCCACCGGCACCTAGTGTGGCCATGACTTGGTTGTCTCACTGGACCGTCCTGTGCCGCAATGACGGGACACCCCGTGGGCTAAAAAACTTTCTGACTCTTTCTGTCCCTCCGTGTCTTTCCCTCATGTCAACCTTAAACCTCGGGGTAGAACCAGAAAATTAAATATTTCTTTGCAGGAACTAGAAACACCATGAGGAAACCCAATCCCCCGCTCCTTTCCATGATTTTTACCTGGCTGGAAGATCTGGGAGGAGAAAAGAGAGAAGAAGATGAGAGTCCCCACTTAGAAAGGAGCCGCCGGTCCTGATGCCACGGTTAGAGCGCTCTCCTGCCTCTGGAGACCAGGAGCAGAGTCCATGGGATGCGCACACGGTGGTTTGAAAGTCCCTTCAGCAGCCTGTGTAGCTTCATTTGTTCATCAGTAACCACAGCAAGTGGTGTCCCCCCTTGGTCTCCACAGGGCTGTTGGGAAGCCACGTCGATAGCTAGCTAGGCTGGAGCCTGCCACCATCCTCAGCAAGACCCCTGCTGGCTCCACTCTGAGTTCGGGCAGAGCAAGGACCTCGCCTCATACCAGTAATTACTGTATTTCACCAAGAAAACTTTGGTAGCTTTGATTCCTCTCAATACAGTCAGGAACTCCACAATTTTGGGGCGTGGAACTCCACATTTTTGGAAAGAGTTCTTATTTGTGGAGGTGGCGGGAAAGTGAGGATGCAGACCCACTTTGCTGCGTGCTGCGCATAGAGCAGGCCGGCCGGCAGAGACACCCAGGTCCACCAACCTAAATTATTCTATGATCTGTAGCGCATGAAAGATTGAATCTCATCTGCCATCTCTGGCAGGAGCAGAAGACACCTTCAGCTTCATTCACGGCAAAAGGAAAAGCTGGGTTCTTACTCTTCCAGCTTTGACACAGGACAGCTTTTGGGACAGTCAGTGGGTCAGCCAGAGTTCCTTATTACAGGAAAGGCGTAAGAGACGCAGAGACTGAAATCCACTGCGTGCTCTGAAATCCTTCAAAAGAAAGTACACCATGGCAGAAACAGGGGCTGGGGGTGGTGTCCCGCAGGGAGAAGGGGCGATGCCCAGCACCCCGACCCCCATCCCTGCCCCGAGTGGATCCATAGTCAGGAATTCCCACAGGCGGCGGTGACAGGCGTTGTCCGTCCATCCTCTCCTCCGAAAACCCACAGCTTCACCAGTGCTGGGCTCTGGGGAAGAGTCCGGAGCTGCAGCTGCTGGAGGCACTGAGTGTTGGCTGCT